GTATTGTATACTCAACTACTCAACCATAAAGAAGCAGACACAACACGATTGAGTAACAGAACGAAATTGTTGTTTACTTTGATGGTATGGCTATATACAGATGTTACCCAATGTTGGTGACGCAACTTCTCTTTCTGACATACAAAAACAAGGAACTCAAGATCAGGAAGTAAAATGGTGTTAACAAAACCTTGGAGCCACGCAGCTCTTCTCCGCTACGATGGACATCTGGTCGATCTTGTGTTGCCTTGACCCTGTGTGTCCTTCGGAGCCACTGGAACTGACACAAATGCGGCCGCATCAGCCAACTCGAGTGTTGTGGGCATCTGCTGTGAAGCTGCAGACATGCTCTCCCACTTCACCAGAGGCCGCCAGCTTGGAGGCGTTCCAAGTGCGGTTGTTGGCCAGACTATAGGAACCTGGCTCATGTGTGTCCCTGATAAGCATAAGCTATGTGTATCCCGATGCCCCCTTCTTTAATATGTTGGGCTTGCGGACCCTGACAAAGTCGCCAGGCTTGAAGATAGGCACCTTGGCCCCCCTCTTGCTGCAGTTGTGCTCGAAGGTTGGCCATTTCTGGGACAGGGTTCACAAAGAACTTGAACGATGGGAAGCCCACAACATCCAACCAGGATTGAGGAATACGACCATGCAGCAACAGAGCTGGCGGCACACGCATAGTGGCATGAGGCGTGCACCTGTACATGCTCAGGTACTCAATGGTGGCTACTTCAAGAGGTCAATGCTCCAGAGCTGTTAGTTGAATGAATTCCTTAAAGCCTTTGTTGAACCATTCCACTTGTCCGTTGCATTGAGGGTAGTAGACAGACGAGCAGCAATGACGAATTTGACATTTCCTCAGGAAGTCCTCGAAGGTCGCTGACATGAGCTGTGATCCGTGATCCATCAACCCTTCATCCGGGTAGCGCTTCCTGCTGAACGTAGAAGGTAAGAAGTTTATCACAGTCTGTGACGTCGCCACCGATGCAAAGCGCACCTTTGGCCATTTTGAATAAAAGTCCACCGTAGTTATAGCATACTCGTGTCTGTTTTTAGTTCTTGTCATTGGCCCCACAATGTCCACTGCCAGCTTCTGCCAGGCCCGTTCTGGCAGCGGTATCGGCTGAAGTGGTGCAGTCATCGGTTTGGCAGATTTATCTGCGGACTGGCACTCGCAGCAGTTCCTGATGGCTTGCTCCACCTGATGATCAAGACTCGGCCGCCGATACCTTTTGCAGAGTCTCTGCTTAGTCCTGACACCCGGATGGGTCTCATGTGCCAGATCGGTTGTGGTGCCCATTAACGACTCGGGGATGACCAGGTGTTCTTCACGCAACAGCAACTGTCCACCACAGCCAACTCATCTCGCACCCGAAAGAACGGAAGTAGGCTGCAATCCAAGCCACTCCTGTCTGACCACTTTGTGGAAATATACGTTCATCACCAGCTGCAATATCTGGTCTCTGTGCATGGCCTCTTGCAGTTCTTGCTTCGTGATACAGGATGACATCAACGACACAATTTCCTCCTCTTCCTCACGACCAGCAGGCGATGGCAACTTTGATAGAACATCTGCCACCTTGTTGTCACTGCCTCGGAAGTATTTCACTTTGAAATTGTAATACAGGAGGCGGGCTGATCACATTGATATCCGCAGTGACCTGAAAAGAACCTGAAATGAAATAACGGTAATTAAACCATTATTTCGAAAGCATCACTGAACCAGAACTGAACTGGAAAAAAAATGCAAGGCTTCTGAACCCTTATTCAGCCAATCTTCTAGTGTTTGCTTGGAACGCAAATGAAGAATTGGATTGAATATGTTGGGGAATCGCAAAAAACGTACAGCAAACATAAAAGTTTACTTTTCAAGGCCGGTTCCATAATATGGTGCTACAGTCCCTTGTGCTGGGGCCATATACCGATTGCCCTTTTTCAGTGGTTTTTCCTGTCTTGCCGCAGTGCATGGAGATTTGGGGCAGGTATACATGGCGTCGCTTCCGACAGTGCACTAGGAGTGCTACATATTGTGCAAGTATTTGAAGCAAAGAGCATGATAGAGTCTTCCTGTGCCACACACAAGCTAGGCATTTTTAAGGCCTATCAAACAAACAACATGCTGACCATGTATCTGTAATAGTATATGTGGTTTCTAAACTTTTGTGTCTGTTGCAAGCCGTTTACACTTGATCATGGAATTGTATTTTGCAGTGACACCAAGTACCACGAAATGCTTTTTGCGATCACCCATTCGGCATAGTAGAATCGGAGGTCGGCTCACCCTCACAGCCACACTCACCTAAGCCCCTCGCTCACCCTCACCCTCACAGTCACACTCACCTAAGCCCCTCACTCACCATAACAGTCACAGTCACCTTCAGCCCTTCACTCACCCTCACTGAACCTCACGACCCTCACGCCCCTCACACACTCGCGCACCCATACCTCTCGTGCACTCATGGCCCTCACGCCCCTCACCACTTTCACGGCCCTCACACACTCGTGGCCCTCACGCCACTCATGGCCCTCATACCCCTCACGTCCCTCACGCACTCGTGGCCCGGCTCACGCACCTTACGCACTCACGACCCTTGTGCACTCATAGCCCTCACGCCCCTATGGACCTCACACACTCACGCACTCATACCCCTCACACCACTCAGGTCCGCTTCAGACGGGGCAATTTCGCCCAAAAACTTGACGGCACAACACCAGCAACATGGGCCGCCCGCGTTCACACGCAGCAACCAATTGCTGCAATTTGCCATCATCATCATGAAATTTTATTTTTCTTGCACTATTTAGACACACAATTGCACGCTATAAAGGTGTTTTTATGCATTTAAATCTTGTTGAGAATACTAATGCATCTTTCTAAAACAGTTTATTTCCAAAACCGATCAATTTCAAGCCAGAACCAGGTCTTTTGTTGTCATCATCACCGGCCCGAGGTATCACATGAAAATATTGCGTCCCTGATTGGATGCAGCTGCTTCAAACGTCTTCGAATTGCTCCGAGTTGCTCGCTTGTTTCGAGCCGGACCCAATCTCAGCAATTCGTGTCCATCTTGGGAGAGCTAGGGAACAACTTGCCAGCAACACCAAAATTGTTGAGAAAGTTGCTCCGTCCGAAATTAAAGGGGCCTCGCGCACTCACTGCCCTCACGCCCCTCACGCACTCGTGGCCCTCACACCCCTCACGCCCCTCACGCACTCACCGCCCTCACGCACTCATGGCCCTCACGCACTCATGGCCCTCACGCACTCATGGTCCTCACAGCCCTCACGGCCCTCACTCACCCTCACACTCATGAGTTTTCCTGGTTTGGAAACTCACTCACCCTCACCTCACCTGTGAAGGTGAGGGTGAGTGAGGGCCCTCATGAGTGAGGTTTGCTGAGGTATGAGTAGAACGAGTGCTTTAAGGTAGCTTTTTGCATACTTCTGTAGTCCTCTCTGCATTTAATAACGTCAGCAGCTTTATGCTGCTTTTTTTAGTAGTGCAACGTAGCTATCAATGCCTATTTTTTCACCCTCAGAAGTTACAAAAAATGGAATGGTGGAGTTTGGCAATTCCTGGAGTGGAAATGGGCCAGTGTCTCCATTCTGAGGAGTTGAAAGGAATGGAATTGAAATGCAATGGAGAGTTGCTTATTCTACAACACTGGTCTGGAGGGCATACAGTCTGTTTGGTATCGGAAAAGTGCCACTGCACTTTTTCTAGCACTGCTTTTGTGGCCTTTCTCTTGCTCCCTTTTTATGGCTGCCAGGCGGGCTATGGACAAAGGCTATGCTCTGTTTCACCTTAAGTTGTACTGTGGTGAATACTACGAGCCATTGGAGCCAATCCATTGTGGAGAGGGAATCATCCGTGACCTCGCGCACTGCGTGTCGCTGCACGAATGCCGCGTAAATTGCTCTTGGCGAATAATTTGGCTTCAATAACTCGTAGCGCCTTCCACCCTTCATTTTAAGCTGAATTGGAGTGTAGCATGAGTAGACAGGACAAGTGCTAGCTCTCACCCGACGTCTTAATATGCACGAAAAAAGGGAAAAGGTGCAAATTCAAACAAAGGGAGAAAGTAGAGGAAAGGTCTGTGTATTTAACCCCTCAAGTGGCTTAGGTGAGCTGAGCTCATCGGCGGCTTTCGGGCTAAAAATTCCGCCGACCAGCTCAGCTCGTCCAGTGGCTTTTTGGGTAGCCCTCAATTCCATGGACAAGCTACACTCGTCCGAATGGTTTGCGGCACTGATCATAGATGGCAGCACTTGTTCTAGTTAACATATTTTGTTTTCGCCACCATTGGTAGGATAAATGAAAAGATACTCTGGCAACAGTCATTTAAAAAAGGTGTCGCTAGCCAATGGAGCATGTGGAACTTCATCGCGAAAAAGAAAAGTGATTGCTGAAGAAAGCTCAAGCGATTGGGAAGAAGTTGACTCTTGCTCGTCATGCGAAGATGATGGTGACTTTGTTGCTGAACTCGGCTCTTCAAGTGAATTCAATGACGACAATGATTTGAATGGTGGTGGTGACTGCGACTCCTCCAGGCAGTTTGCAACCTCGGATAGGGTGGTTGTACCGTACTTGGTGTTCCGGCGCAAAAACATCTACAGGACTGCCCTAATTTACTATTTTTCTTTACGCGCAACCCCAGAGGATGTAGGACGCTTAACGCGTATGTGGAAGTGCAAGATGCTTCGTGCATGTGCACAATTCTAACAAGGTTCATGTGCACACAGAAATATACCGGTTTTTGCATAATAAACTTTTGAAATTTGACCTGCGATACTAGGGGATTAAAACTCGTTGAAAAAAAAACAAAAAAACATTTAGGTCACTTAAAAAAGGTATAAATAAATAATGATAAGGGAAAGCTGGATAACATTAAAGAAGTAGTTTTGAAAGAGAATATTGGCTAGAACGTCATACTATGTCCTTTCTCTGGAAATGTTTGCTTAACCCGAGTGACCCGGGTGGGCCTCTGTCGTCTCTTTAGGTTCTTCGAGTGGCACAAGGAAGACAAGACGTCTCGACAGCCCTACCTGGTCTACTTCCGCCAGCCCAAGGCGGTCTCGATGGCCGTCCGCACCTGGGACGACATCTCGGACGCCCATCAGCTCATGCAGGGCGGCCAGTGGGCAGGGCCCAGGCTCCTCACCATGGCGGGCCTCTTTGATGTCTCCACGTGTGAGGTAGGTTTTAGATAATTGGCAGGGGTCTGGACTGTAGTCGCCAGCGGGATAAAAATGTCAGGGTGTCTCTTTCGGGCTTCTCTCGTTGCTTTTCGGCGTGCTTTGGCTGCGCGTGCACGCTGGGGGCTCACGAGCTGCCCAAGTGTTATCGAAGGTCCACTTGGAGGCGGGACAATTTGAAGGACCTCCCTGCCATGTTCCTTCTATCAAATAGTCTCTCACTGAAGTGCTTAAGGGCATTATGTGTGGTTGTTTTCTGGTGGCATGTTTCTACCTTTTATTTCGTGCTAGAAGAGATCGAAGTAAAAATCGGAAGCGAGATTCACGAGAAGTTTTCTGCGCTGTAGCAACTTAGCTAAGAAGTTTGTGAGTTACCTATAAATCGTAAGAAGTGGCAAAATCAGTATTCATGAACACATTCCCGAATGAGAGGAGGAAAAAGATGTATCTCGTAGAAAAACTGAAATCTTGCAGCGTCTCAACCTCCGAAACATTGCGAGAAAGGGTGTTTGCCAACCTGAACAGCAATCGGAGAGCTTGGCATGTTTTGGAGCTGATGGGTTTGAACCATGTCCAATGTGGGTGGCAGCAATTTCTACGACTCACTCTTCCACTAGCATTTAGCCCATGCTCGGTGCTTGTTGAAAAGTATGGGCTATGAGACGGAGTGTGGATGAGTGGTCAAACACGTTTCATTTTCCTCCCTCCGGTCTAGAAAAAATCAGGGAGCTCCTTTGTGAGCTAATACAGCAGGCATTCGTCAAGGTGTACTGTGTATATTAATTTTTTACATTCAGACTAGACACTAAGTACAGACTATGCACGCTAACGTGCATTGTCTGTATATTAGTTTAGGTTAGGTTAGGTTAGCATTAGGCTAGGTTAGTCAGGTTAGGTCACCATTTTCTCTAAACAACCTAATGCTCACGCACCTCACGAAAGATGCCATGAACTTCGAATGGGGTGGAGAACAACAACAGACATTTGACGAGCTAAAGCGACGGCTCCACTCACCACTGATTTTCGGCCACTTCGACCAATCAGCCGAAACGGAAGTTCACATGGACGCCAGCAATACAGGACTCGGAGCGGTACTGGTCCAACGACAAAAGGGTGCAGAGCGCATGATCGCATACGCTTGTCGGACGCTGTCGAACACGGAACACAATTACTCGACGACCGAGAAGGAATGTCTGGCCTTCGTCTGGGCCATCACGAAATTCCGCCCGTACTTATACGGGAGTCCTTTTCGAGTGGTCTCCAACCAGCACTCGCTATGCGTGCTGGTTAGCGAGCCTGAAGGACCCATCGGAATGCCTCTTTTGATGGAGCCTACGACTGCAAGAGTATGACGTGACCGTGGTCCACAAGTCAGGCCGAAAACACAGCGATGCCGACTGCCCATCCAGAGCCCCCGTCAAGTCAGTTACTGGATGTGCCAAAGTAGACTACGACGACGATCGCTTTCTTGGCGCAGTGAGCGTTAACGGTATGGCAGCGCTTCAACGGGACGATCCTGAACTTCGCGCACTAATCGATCACTTGGAGGGACGAGGGGATACTATTCCCCGAGCCTTCTCACGTGCCCTGCCAAGAATCGCTGTCCGACGAGATATTCTCTAGAAAGAAAACTTTGGGTACAGCAACTCGACGTGGCTTGACGTGACCGTTCCAGCAGATTGAAATGCATCTCCTTGGACCTTTCTTGCCGTCGACACAGGGAAACCGTTCGATAATCGTGGCACCTGATTATCTCACCAGGTACGCCGAGACAAAAGCACTCCCGTCAAGAACCGCCGTGGAAATAGCCAAGTTCTTCGTTGAGTCTATACACCAACTCATCTCTGTGACGTCACGGCGCGGTGGTGGCGCGTCCGTCGCACTTCCGGTCTGGGGCTGTGGGCGGAAGTCCCCATGCCAGACGTGTATTCCTGCGTTGTTTTGAAGGGAACCAGACAAAAACCTGCCTTCTCGTCAAAACGCCGTGACTGGGGCCGTACCAAAAGAGTCGAGAAAGGTTTGAAGGTCAGTTTTCACGTGCTCGGTTCGTCCGAGAATCTCGATATGTGCCGTAAAAAGGGAAAAGCAGACGCCGTCGGACAACGATTGCTTGAACGGGAAGCACCTTGGGTTGAATTCACAAATACTTCTGGTCAACAGATTTATTTGTTTTGTTCCAACATGAACGCCAGAAAACCGTCAAGTTGTGCGGACCACCTGCGGACTACGTTCAGTGCGTCTTCAAGTTCAAGCGAGCGCCTTATCGTTCGAACTGTCGTCTGCTCTTTCAAACGTTTCTGCTTGTCGTCTGCTCTCTTAGACGACGCCGGCCCGTAGACGAAATGTTAGCCGGGTACTTGCGATAAGAAGTAAGTGCAGGCCTCAAAAGACTTACGTTTGAAGGTTGGTAAGCAGGCTCGATGTAAACAGTAAATACAAGGGGATGTTGATCATTGTTACCAGTGACTATCACTGACTTGCTATGCCTAATTGACTTGGTCCGATTTTGCTTGCGATTTTCAGTATCAACGTCGACTATCTCAGCTACGGTTCACGCTTTTGCAGCCTGAGAGGCGTCGCGACTGAAAATTGCGAGCGAAATCTCATCATGCGAATCAGGTTTTAGCGTACATATTGCGGCGTCCCCGCGGAATGAATCGCCACATGTGACATCATTCACACATCATTCACACGAAGTTTCGCGGTGTAACGAGCATCGGTAATTTCGCTGACGCCACTCAAGTAGTCAGACATCGCCAGGAAGACGTAGAATCAACAATTCGAACGCGAAAGAGAGCAGGGGGACACACCGACGCCGACAACATCACAGTTCAATGGTTTGTTTATGGGCGACGGCAAGCTTCTTGCCCACACCCCCACCGCGCATGCGCGGCGCCGGTGGCGTCCGCTAGGGGCGCTCCGGTTTGTTTGTAAACATGAGTTGGTGTATTGTCCACCGACACAACACTCCTTAAGTCCTGATTCCGGACCGAGGCTCCTCGTTCATGGCACAACTGACACGAGATACTCCGCCTGAGCCACACCGACCACCGCCGGACCACGGCATACCACCCGCAGACCAGTCTTGGGCAGTAACTAGTTACTAGTAACGCGTTACCGGCAACTAGTCACTTTTTCCGGTAACTTTTGCCTGTAACGCGTTACTCTTTAATACTGGTAACTTGTAACTGTAGCACTGTTACTTTTTATTGGGTAACTGTAACTGTTTAGGCCGTTACAGTTACTTTTTTTTTACCATATAAATTAGAACCCACTACCGCGGGCATGAAAAAATTTCCATCTTGAAATATTTTTCTCCAAGCTCCTCGATGACAAAAAAAAAATAATAAAGAGAAGCGTGGTCACACGATAAACAAACAAAAAATTGGCTGGTTTAGCCCACGACCGAGAATGGACGAAGAACGAGTCAGCACGAAACTGAGAGATAAAGGAAGCGGCGCCTGCGGTGGTAGGGGCGGCAAACAATGCGGAATTGTAGTAGACCGTTTCCGCAGCCTGCTAAGCACCCGGATAGCGCTCCGTAATCCGCCACAAGACCTTGAACTATGCAGAGAAAGCTGGCGGCGCGCATACGCAGCTGCGGAGTTTTCTTCGCGCATACTGTAGCGGAGGAGAAAAACGGTTTACTACAATTCCCTAATGTCTGTTTCACCGACTTTGGCTCACTCTTCTTTCGTGGGGACCATCTGCGGGTGTCGGTTGTCGTGTGATACGTCTCCGAGTATTCCGTCTGGGCTGTGTCCGTGCTGTCGTTTTTACACCCAGCCGTTCGCCGTTTCCTCTTCCCTATTAGTTTCCAAGGAAGCGGTCCCCATATTGTGCAGAAAACTGGCGCTTGTTTAACTTATTTGCTCTCGTCAGAGCCGCTCGAGTGAACACGACTTCTACAGTTGGCGTTTCGGACATAGACGCCGGGGTGGTCGCCGTAGACTCGTAAAGCACCAGAAGTTAATTCTCCTTTCCCCCTTTATTCTTTCGAAGCTGTTTGACCTGCTATGTTTAGGCCTGCTTCCAAGTATATCCCGTAAGGTAATTATGTGACTATCTCTGTCCTCATTCGTTTCGGAGTGAAATATAAACCAAAACGTTCACTGACACGTGCCGATGACAATTTTGAAAAACGGTTGATTCTAGGTTATAACAATTATTGCAAATAAATTATGCACATCTAAATGCTGAAATGGCGAATGATGGTTACTGTTTTTGCAGTAACTGTAACTTGTGGGCAACCTGGCGATTCCAAGCGGTTGGCCCAGGCCGCCCCTCCGACAATCATAAGTGGTCATCTTGACCACGAGGGGGCCAAGGGCAACTGGCCACGCGAGCGGCACTCCGCCGCTGATAAAAGGTCGTCGCAGCGGATGCGCGGGGGCGGTTGGGATCGCGGCGCAGGCGATAGCGGTCATTAAATGTTTACGTGTTGTTGAACTGGTGTGCTGTGTCATTCTCCGAGACGGGTAGCAGCAAGGGAAATCCCACAAACTGTAACACGTTACTTTTTGAAACCGATAACTGTAACTGCAACAGAGTTAGTTTTTCCCCATAGGTAACTGTAACACTGTTACTTTTTACTGGTAACGTGCCCAAGACTGCCGCAGACCAAAAACCTGACGGAGCAACTAAACAAGATCATCGTTGACATGATCTCGATGTATGTGGAAGTGGAACACAAGATGTGGGATTAGGTGTTGCCCTACGTCTCGTTTGCTTACAACACGGCGGTTCAAGAAACCACTGGGGTTACACCTTTTCAACTGGTGCATTAACGAAAGGTGACGAAGATGCTCGACGCCATGCTGCCCCACGACCCGACGGATGACGGCACCGATGACGCCCAGCTGGTCACCCAACGAGCAGAAGAGGTATGCCAGCTAGCCCGCCTTCGCTTAAAGGACCAGCAATGTGTCGATGCTGGCCGTTACAACCTTCGGCGCCACGATGTGGAGTTCCAGCCCGGAGACAGTGTGTGGGTGTGGACGCCCATTTGCCGCCGCGGCCTTAGCGAGAAACTGTTAAGTACGCTACTTTGGACCCTACAAGGTGATTCGCCGCCTTGGGGACTTGAACTACGAGGTGCTCCCCGACGGAACCCGACCCTCGGAACGCCGCCAGCCACGACCCGAAGTGGTCCACATAGTTTGACTCAAGTTGTTCTACGCACGTTAGGAATGTGGGGCTGCATTTGTATTTCGTCTCACCATACTTTTTTTGTTTTTAGCTGTTTTTGTTTTGCTTTCGCACTGCATCGGGTCGATGCGCTTTTTAAGGGGGGGATAATGCCGCGCTCAGGGTTCAGCAAACGACGCTCGGTCACTGACTTCTAGAATATTCACGTTTATTTTGGTTCCGGTTGTAACTTTCGTCCTGCTTTCTTGTCCTCGAAAGTGCCAGTTCATCCTGGCCCTGAGCGTGCGACGCTCAAACCTTCTTTGCCGAACTTTCAAGATAGTGACGCACTGTAGGTAAGCAGCTGCCCGCGACCTTGTCGAGTCAGTCTCGCTCTCGCTTGCTGTTTTGCTGCTAAATCGCCGACCGCTTTTCTGCTGCCTTGACGCTCATTCTTTACCTTTTTGTTTGGCACAAGTTCATTGATTAAACCTTTATTTTCAGTTCACTGTTCGTCCTCTCGTCACCTTCATTCGTGACAATATGTCCTTTCCCGTGGTGGTAGTTTTAACTACAAGACAAGAAAGAAACTCCTGCACAATCGCACCGTCTGAGAGGTACCTCACGCACCAGTTGAGGACTACCAGAAATGTCACAACTCTTGTCTACGGCAATCGCAAACTTCGGGGAGTTTCTGGTGCACTTGATCACTTGGCTCTCCACGTCCAACACCATTTCATGAATCTGTCGGCCAACAGTGTCATTCGAGCACGGTTCCTGGAGCACCTTCTTTAAGTGCTCCTCTCAGATCCCAGTCCTGATTACATCTTGAATGCAAGACATGATCAGATCCTCGCAAATCATGTGAGGCTTCAGTTGCTTTGCAATCCGGTAGCTGAGCAAGTATGTTGCCTTCATTTTGTTCAACAATGGTGTTGACTCCTAAAACAAAAACCAAAAATGCTGATGTCAAAACTCTCATTTCAAATGCTTGCTAAATTTTCTCACCTCTCTGGGTGAATATTAGGGGTGTCGCAAACTTTTGTCGGACCGGATTTTTAGGTTGAACTTTTTGGGTTCAACTGGTTTGAACCGGTTCGACGAGCCTCCAAACTTTCAACCAGATTTGACCGGTTCGACTTCGTGAACAGTGTGGCCAGACCTTTATACAAGCATGTTTAGATTCGGGGAATGTTTTTTTTATGCAATGGGTTATTTTAATTTTATGAACAGTTGCAATTAAAAGAAACTAATTCTAATCACTGAAGAAGTTAATAACTTAATTTTTTGTACTGTATTAATTGAAATAACCAATCAGTGCTGCCCTTAATTCATCCCTTAGCCATCACCATCCAATTCGAAGCCAACTAGCCAGCCTGTCGCGCATTCGCATAGCAGTCAAACCTGAGTCGAACCTTTGGCGAACTTTTCACAAGAAGTTTGAAAAAGTCGAACCTGGTGGAACTTGAACCTCGACCACTTGAACTTCGACCTCTGCGCTTCCAGCTAGTATTTTTTCTTCGAAAAGAGGCCCGTTGTACTGTCCTTGTATACTGGGTGGTTTGCTGCGAGATGATGCGAAAGCTTCGCTTGATTCATGAAGCTATTGGCGAAAACTTTGATGCAAATAATGTACTGGGGATTTCCTCCAGCTTCTATAAATACTTACTGAAGATAACTGTCTAAGTATGCTCTTGGTTTAGCTTTCTTGCTCATCTTGCGTTGAAAGTAAATCTGCCGAGAGTGAAGTTAAACTAAACTGCTCCAGAAAAGCGCGCGAGCAGGGTCGTCTGCTTTTCGCAAGGTGCTTCCTGCCTCCTACCACCCTGCGCGTGCCTGGCACTCTTCTGTTATTAACTGAGAAGCAACTCAAGCACAAACGTAAACGCTTGTGGAATCCGCAGCGCACTCTCTTGACGCGGTCGTAAAACAGCGGCACGAGATGGTGCGGCAGCGCACGTGCACACAGCAGAATGGACAGGTCTGCTTCGTATGCTGCAGGCACAAAATTAGTAGCGTTTGTGCGATGAGCGGTCTAGTGTACTGCAGATAAGCGCACCTTTTGACGGAGCAGCAAGCAGGCATGTGAGTGTTTGGATGATTAAACAAGGGGGGGCACCGCATTTTGGGTGCTTGCGGAACCCATGAGACCAGTTTGCGGAACCCAGTTTTGAGAACTCCTGGTCTAGGTAGCTGAAAATATCAATAGGACTTCCCCTAACGAATGCACTTTTAACTTAAAACCCATGTAATGAGTGTATCCCAACTTTGTGTTAGTTCTGACAATTCATTAGTGCCTCTGTATGTTGTTACCACTTTTCAAGTGGGACCAGTAGTGTGCGATAATTATTCTAGTATACTGAACGCAGTGTTAGTGCAAATAGGCAACCAACATTTTTTTTGGTGTGCTTCTCTGAGAATGTAGGGGCTGTCATAAAAACTGCCAGAGTGGTGAAAAGTGCTGATTTGAAGCACTTACCTAATTGGTAAAATTGAATGCCCACTAATACCCTTTCGAAGTAGGATGGGGAAAAGTGCCGACGTCATGTTCGCACTAACAATGTCGCATATTGTACATGTTGTCCACTCGGGACCCTTGTGCTAAACTTTGCAGAAAATCATGATCAACACAACTCCTATTTTTTTATTTTCTTACAGGAGGATCTGTACAGCTTCACAATTCTCACAATGAACTCGCCAAAGTACCTGCAGTGGCTTCACGACCGAGTGCCTGTGAGTGAACCTCAACGCTGTTAGAATTTTCTAGGTACCTAAAGAAAAGAACTCCTAATTTCGAGGAAGTGATTGCATGCACTTAACAAGTGTACCACTCTAATAGGGTAGTGCGAATATTCAAATTCTCGAATAGTAATTTCGAAAAATACGCTATACGATATTCGCTTCGAGATGAACGCGCCTGTCTGTGTTTTCTGTTCCTTCTTCGTTTATCCTTGTCCCTTTGTGTGCGATTTTACAGCGGAGTTATTAAGGGCAAGCTTTCCCAGGATCGTTTCCGTCAGCAAACAAATGATGACACAGAACTCTGGACAGCTACCGCCATCTATGAGCGACGGCGGCAACCAGACAACCAGTTGCTGCCGTCGCTCATAGATGGCGGCAACGTTTGGGGCCTTTCCACTATGGCTTGCCAACTTGAGACCGGCCATTACTTCATTCCCACCATAGTACAACTTCTCTGGTCTTCCTTCTTCACCACAGTGGAAAGGCTGAAAGTTTTTTGATCATGTTCAACGTTTACCAACTCGCCCAGCTTACTACTTTATGAACTGTATTATTCATACTTTTTGTAGTGTTCATCGCAGCGGGTTAGCCCCATTGATTGCGCTTCTCACCAACCACCTGTGCACTGCAAGGAAGCCACACCCACGGAGCTTGTGGACTTCGCAGGTATTGCTTCTCCGCAGTGCACAGGTGCTCGGTGGGAAGTGCATTTAAGAGGGCTAACTGGCCATGATTATGTACAAGGCAGCAATGTCTTGACAACCCTTGTTCGTCATTTGTTCTTGTTTTCTTTTTTTCCGTCAAATTTGAAATTGAAGAAAATATTTTCATATAGCAAGCAAATTTAGAAATCCCCTTGATTAGGATAGCTGTGACGAAGTTGTCGTTTACATGCCACAGTTCATATAGTTATATTAAAATTAACTGGGCTTAAAGTGGACAATTCGAAGCTCAGGAACAACCCTCATGAGTTCAGTTCGGTTTTCGTTTAAGCATGATGCGGTAGTGAAAGGTTTGGAGAAACTATGCAGTATTTGATGAGAAAATATTTGGCTAAAACCGCTATTTGCTTTAAATTCGCTTCAAACTCAAAATCCACCATTTTCACATGACTAGTAAATGTTTTTTATGCCTTGCATGCCTACTCGTCATTATGCTTGAATATAAATATCAAATTCCAAACATGCAGAATGATCATGCTGTACATTGCTTTGAAACAGCTCAGACGACCTGAAATAAAACTGAAATTCAGCTGAAACACATGTAAAAACATAAAATATTTACTTTTACTTTAAACTAAAAAATATCAATTATCAATGTGGAGGTAAAAGACATATTATGCACATCTCTTTGAGAATTAGGGCCATCAAAGTGAAAGCTCTCAGTACACGTGGCGCGCAAGTTGTCTTCTAAGAAAAATAGATATCCGTTATAGAATTCGGGACAGAAATATTTTTATTAGTTATAAAGTTTAGAACTGGGCAAGTTCATTTACATTGAACATTATAGAAATTAAACAGCATCTTTCTTTACCCCAGGAAAATATGCAATTGTGAGGTCGTCTCTGTAAAACAATTGTTTAGCTGCAAATTACACTACTCGGTGTACCAAAGAATATCAAAATGTAGCTAAAGGAATTATGTTTTCAACAATGGAAATGTCAAGAAAGGTATTTAAAACGTACCACAAGAAACAAAAATGTAATGCAAAATTTTGTGAATCCAACACAAAAGTTATATTTTTAATTCAATGTGCCTTGCAAAGAATTAGTAGTACAGAGAATTACAAATATTTATTTTGTATCTTACCCTTCTAGATACAAATCCTACAAGTTTGAAAAGCCTCCTTTGCAGAACTTTTTGTTCTGCAGAAATAAAAGTTAACCTCCGTAATGACCGTAGGCCTACCATTCCCCGAAGCTCCAACCAAAGCGTGTCTTGTTACTCCGTAGTACTTGCCGAGGTCGAGATCTTCGTCTTTTCTAAGAAAACTCCACTCGGTTTGCGGGTGATGGCATAAAATCACGTCTTTATGGTGTTGACACCCTGCAGATGAAAAATGATGCATTCAGTACACGACCAGTATCTCTGCAGGAGCTCACGGAGCCAATAAGTGCTTTGGGCACAAAACGAAACATACTGACAAGTACATGTTGATGGCCCAGAATGGTTCGACTCACTGCCACTATCAAAACTTAAATCCAAGTAAAGAACATTATCCTTACTTACTACGGCCACTTTCATCAACAAAATCCATTGCATATGCACCAGAATCACGAGTCAGAGGCTTGGGCGTCGGCAGGATTTCCTCTTGACAGGGCAAAAAGTTTTCACCCGACGTTCTTTTAACTTCTTAAAGGGCAACTCCGCTCAATTTCGAAAAATTTAGGCTTCCATGTGATTCACATTCCCAAAGTAATACTCAACAACTCTACGTCTTCGGATTCGCGAAATGTGGAATAATATTTGTGTAATCCTAATTTAAACATCAGCAGATACCGAAACCGAAACTTCGGTTGCGTCAGGCAACATTGGTCTCGGGTCGTCACAGTCATGGGCACCTCACGTCGAACCACGTGGTCTTGTGACGTTCGGGAGGGAGCGAGAAACAAAACACGCGACGCACGCAGGTCCTTTTTTTTTTTTTTTTTTTGGACGTGGGCAGGTTGCTTCGCGTGGCGTGGACGGTGATGGCCCGGGGGAGAGGGGAGAAGACGAAAGAGGAGAAGGGGAGCGGAGAAACAGACCGATAAGCGCGCAGGGCAGCGGTGATCACGTGAACGCCCCGTCAGCCAACACCGGGAGGAGAAACTCATGACGTCATCGTTAAATTTCGCTCTGAAAAGTAAAAACAAGCAAAACGTGAGAATGGAGTATGCATGCCTCTGACGTAGTGGTTCAACGTTGGCCGCTCCAACTCCGTGGCATTGACTGCGCTGATGATTGCGCCTCGCGCCGCACGCTAGAGTTGGCAGATTTCGGCGACTTGGCTCGCTTGAAGGTTCGCTGGCCAGTTTATTAAATATATAGACGGAATTAGATCGTAATATTTGACATGGGGTCTTCCTATATGATACTGAAGAGGGCTACATAGTTTTCTAAATATCAAAAATGAAGCGGAGTTGCCCTTTAATTAAAGAGGGGTGGGTCTCAGAGTGAAAAATATTCCTCGCAATCTGCGGAAATACGTAATGGCCAAAGATGAACAAGGTGCTTGTATATTCTTGCGTCCCAACCAACACATTTCAGCGACATTTCTGCAACATATTAGGCTCATACATTTTCAAACAAATGTTGCCATAAACATTCTTAAGTCTACAGCTCTAAGAGCTTATGTAAGAAGTCCCTCCAGAAGTACTATTATGATAACCCTCGATTTAATTCCCGCTGCCCAGACGCAGAATTCTCGTGAATGGCAAACGGGCATGAACATTTCGAGAACCAATGGTTTATCGCTGATAGAAGGGCCATCGGTCATTAAATAATGGATCAGGTTTGGCAGTATGGCTATACAATAGGAACTGAAAAATTCTTTCAAATGCCCATTTGTATACTGTCAAAATACAAGAAGACGGGCTTCATTCGTATTATTAAGAGAAGCAAATGCAAAAGGCAAGCAAGCTATGCAATGTTTCCCCATTTTTGAATAAAATAGCAAAATCCACTTTAAAGATCTGATTCACAAACTACACACGTGCCTACTTTCTCCATGATATTTTAGTATCCCCGATTACTTTCATTTACTAAAATTCAAAATGTGAAGAGTGACAAAGCTAGATAACTCCAAAATGAGTATATGTGAGCTTAGAAGCTATACAACCTCGAAACATTTATAATTTCGCTCTCGATAACATGAAGCCAATGAACTCCATATTTATAAAAGGAAAGTAAACTGAGAAATAGCAATACCCCAAATATAAAGTCCCCAGATGCAGAACCCCAGTTATTTATTTATTTATTTTATTTATTTTATTTTTCTCAAAAGCCCCGGGAGGGGGGGTATTACATGAAGGGTGGGCATTATACAGCAAAGCAGCAAAAATTCCAAAAACCTGTGGACAAAATACAAAAGAATACAAAAAGAGCACATCTATATCAAGAAAGACAGGGAGAGCACACAAATGCACGCATGAATTTCATCACTATGAAACTATGACTCATCTAGCACTATAAGAGCTTCTTTAAATTTATCCTAGTCCCTAAGCTGTACTATGTTTTCAGGAAGATCGTTCCAATCTTTGACTGTTTTAATAAAAAAGGAATTCGCAAATCAATCTGTGTTTGGGCAAGGATATGACACTTGTTGGGTGTTATTAATGCGACTTGAAAAGTGCGAACGGAGCGTGATGTAAGGGTTCGGTGACAATGTGTGATAATATTGGTGAAACACTGACATTCGGGCAACTCTTCGACGGTGATTTAGCAAAGGCAGAGCTGCATGTTTCTTTAGTTGGGTGACGCTAGTAAAAGACGAATAGTCGGACTATACGAATCTTACAGCCCGATTCTGAATGGCTTCCAAGTTTTCGATAAGATAATTTTGGTATGGATCCCATATCGCTGCGGCATATTGTAGTTTGGGGCGGATGAGTGTTCTATAGGGAGCAGTTTTAAGTGAGGAGGAGCGAATTTTAAGGTACGTTGCAGATAACTAAGGGATTTACTTGCAGTTGAAATTATACTGTTTATATGTTATACTATTGTAATATGTTTCGGGTACAAATACTGATCGTCTACTATACTGCATCAAAATTAATGAGAGCTAAAATACTATATCCAGTCTTTATCTGGTATCAATAAAAGTTTTGGCGGTGATTTTTTAAAATAAAAGTTGCTATTTATTTATACTTTTTCTTCAATATGTTTTTTCCTTCGTCACTTAAACTTAAGACTACAGTTAGGCTCTAGATAAATAAATTAGGCTCTGTCTGTTTCATCTCAGAATTCAATAAAACAATGGTAATTAGCAGGGGCTCAGACAAGCGGCCCGTCACTGTATGGGACGCAGCCTGCAAGCATCCCACAGCTGCGATGCCCCGTTTCCGTGCCTCGAGCACTACAATTATAGTTTCACATCGTCGACTCCTTTCCGTTAGCAAAAGAGCTCTGCTCATATAATGTGTTCACACATTTTGCAGTAGTCTATTTTCTTTTGAACTGAGCATTGCATCGTCTAAATATTTGCTTGTCTTCCTCGTGTAAATCAACCGGATTGGCAATAGCACCTGCTAGGCTACAAGCACGGCCTCTTTTTTCAAGGGGGTGGCTACACAGACTCTTGTTCAGCAGGATGACACTACCCAGAGAAAAAAAAATTCTGCAAAAAACATTGATTTTGAAAAATTACATATTTACATCCATCTACACCCAGAAAGTATTCCCAGAAATTTTCACTAGTTTTTACACTGCATAGTTAATTTTTTATAAATTATTTTCTGTCCACCGAAGCTAATGAAAAGATAGGGTTTGGAGCACATTGAACAGATTTTTCTCTGTTCCACTTTTTGGTTAAATTGAAATTTTAGTCAATCTATCGTTTGATAATGGCAATACAGGGAAGGCTTGTTCTTCACTTTTCCTGACTGAAATTTAATAAGGAATGCGCCTATGGAGTTTGTTTGTCACTTTACAGATGTCTTTTATAAAAAATGTTGACATTTTATCGGAGACACAGAAGACCAAAAAGTTGACCGATTTTGCAGAAGAGAAAATTGATAGAAATCAATGACATTTTACAAAAAACTTTCCATAGGCGTGCCTCCTAGGCATTCTGCTACATATCTAGCAAATAAAAATCTTGAATATTGTGATAGTTTTCCGACAATAGATTAACTAAACAATGTAGGGGTGTGGCTGATAGAAGCTGCCCTAATTTCCTTCCCACTTGACCGACAAACCTGAAATTTTGTTATGCACCCTCTAGCGTGACCACCAGCCTACCCTGTGAATTTCATTAATTTTAAGCCATGGGCTCAAAAGTTGACCCTTCCAGGGGGTGTCTCCCCTTAAAGACACACTGACACCCTGAAGGTTTTTTTTTGTCTAAAATGATGCAAGTTGTAGTCATAGACACGCAAAAAATACCGCAACGCAAAAAAAAAAAATGCTTTTCACACGCACGTGTTCCTTTTCATTTTTATTGTTTTTCTCTCTGTCTTCTCACCTCCTCACTTATTTTTATTTGTGACATAATCGATTATGAAATTTAGAAGCTTTGTAAGCAACATTTCTATAATATTGAATAACAGCATTCATAAAACATGTTTCTTAATGCTATTGCAAACGCACTAGACCCCTTATTTAGAAATATTGAAAATCGAAGTCTGGAAATGATGTCGTCTCCTGGCTTTTTATCCTCCCTCGGAAAACATAACGGTGCTCGGCATGTGTAGCACTGAGGATAACCAGGGAGTCGGGGAATCGGACGAAGTTCTCTTTTCGGTGCCGGATGACCCCTCAGACTTCAAGAAGGAAATACAGTAAAACCTCGTTATAACAAAATGGGATATAACAAACTAATGGATATAACAAAGCAATCATAATTCCCCTTGCATGCTAATAGGGAAGAAATGGACATTGGCTATAACAAACTAATGGTTATAACGAAATAATTACGATCACTTCTTCAAGTTTGTTATAACGAGGTTTTACTGTAGTCAAATGGTCAAAACAACTGGGTTTGGTCTCTGTGCACCGTAGTTTCATTTGTGACTCTGCTGGGGCAGCCTTTTGCACTAGAACCAGCGCAACGTGTCCCCTCACATTGCTCACAAAAGTCCACTGCGCATCCTCTCCGTTCTTGGCGCTGTTTCAAAGAATTTGAGATTGCTGAAAGGGCCCTAAAAGAACTTTAAAGGGGCGATGCAACAATTTTTGTACTTTGTGCAAATACCTCTTAGAATGGATCCGTGACATTAATGACCTATGAAACACGCGTTCGTTTTTCACCCCACGCAATATAAGTCCCAGAAAAAATTAAAGAAAAAAAATTACACCATCTTCCTGAGGGGAACCATGGGGTGATGCGGAGCATCGCGGATCGTTATTAGCAGCCTCTCGTTGTTGACGTTTACACGCGGCTTCCCGTTCTCGAAGGTCGGGTTCCGCCGCTCGCTTCGTATGTTTACTTTGAACTTCACGGTCCTGAACCTCAGGTTCTGCTGCTCGACGTTCACGAACCAACGCGGCTTCCCGTTCTCGAAGGTCGGGTTCCGCCATTCATTTCGTACGTTTACGTTGAACTTCACGGTCCTGAACCTCAGGTTCTGCTGCTCGACGTTCTCGAACCGCCGCTGCTTCACGTTGTCGTAGTTCAGCATCCGCCACTCGACGTTGACGAATGGACGCCGCTTCTCGTTGCCGTAGTTCAGGGTCTGCCACTCGCTTCAAGCGTTTGCGCTCAGCGTCGCGTGCCCTTCGCTGCGCAGCTTTGTCTTCAGTGGACGTAGCGTTGCTGTTAGTTTGTGGGGTGGTGCTGACGCTTGCTTGCGCCAACCCACTAACTGACGGGACTGTTGCTTCCATCACACTTTATCGGAAGAACGGAGTGGAGTCAACAGCGGTGAACTGAACACGCGCAGAAAATTGGTTTGCTCTTTATGTTTATACAGCCTTGATGGAGATGCGCCTCAACGGGTAATCGGTCTCTTAGCCGTAGATGAGAAATTTAGCCAACGCAGTAGTGATCACACGAACGCGTGCCGGTACGAAACTCATCCAGATAGAAACGGGCGGGGGCGGCGGGGATTGAACCCAGGAGGTTCCCAGCGCAGGCTTTCGCTCCACGCTCCGAGCTGAGACGCGTTAGCCCACTCGGCCGCTTCCTCCCCTTGAACGCGCGCAGCGCGCTACCGCTGCTTATATTCACACTTGAAGGAGAGGAGACTAGAGGAGGAGAGTTGCGCATGCGCACGCGGTGTGAGTAGAAGCGAACGCACGCGAAGTGCTTGCAGCTGGTAGAGAGAGAGAGCGGAGAGAGTAACGCGCAGCTGTTGGAGAGAGGGAAGGAGGAGAGTTGCGCATGCGTAGTGTGAGTGCGGACTACGACGCCGCGGGACATAGACCCGAGCAAGAGATGCTCCGCATCTAAAACGAGCAGCGTTCACCCCCTCAACTCGCAGCCAGAACAAGCGGCCACGTGATCTGGAGCCGATTATATGCCGCCAATGTAGATCATAGCCACGCGCTGGGGTTGGCAAAGCACAGGGCACGCGCTGAGTTCCAGATATTGTTATGGCTCGGCTATTGTCGTCGTTGCAGCGATTGGACACGGGCCCCTACCCGAATGCTTCTCGAGCTGGCAATTATCACGAGCCCAAATCAAGTGCCCACGCAATGCTCGGGTCCAATCTATGAACAGCATTCAAATATCGTCATATGGGTGTACTGCGATCCCCACGTTACGTCATGAAATTTTGCAAAAGAGAGATTGAATGAAAATGATCGCTTTTGTTCTTGAAATTACACCGCAACAAAGGAGTTTCTTGGCCAGCAGAGTTGCGTGCGAGTATCCTTGACTCCCACTAGTGCCAGTAAGCTCGTGTATAGTGAAAAGCATTCCAACTGAATATCGTTGCACAGCTCCTTTAAACTCGAAAGTGAAGCGTCGTCTGCTCACGGCGATAGGCAGCAGGCACAAAGAAGACGGGTTGATCGCGGGATGCGGGCAAATGCGACTATTCGGGTTGGAACAGTTCGGAGGCGTGAGAAAACCTCGAATTGCGGGACAAATCAATCTTTGACATCACTGCACTGGTGCGGATCGCGTGGGAACTTTAAAATCAGCTTTGGGCAATTGTTTTTTTTTCTTCACAAATACTGAGTTCTCTAGTTTCGAATTTTTAGGGTAATGTCCAGGCATCGTTTTCAATCGTTTCGTACTAAAAACAAAACAAAATATGAGTTTGACCTGTCAGTGCCTCTTTAAGATAAAGATATGACATTGGGCTTCTAGGTGTCAAAAAATACCTTTAAAATACCAGTATTTCCTTATAATACTAGTATAAAAATCGCCAGGAAACCAAAAACTGACGTATGAAGCTATATTTTTTTCCATGCCTTTTGAGTCTTGTGCATTGTGCGACAGGGCACGGACAGTGTGCTTGCTCGCGTTTTATTGAAAACTGCCAGTTGGTTGGTGTTTTAAATCTTGTTATGACATCAAACGTGGGCCCAAAGTAGTCGTACACACAAATAAAAGCTCAAAACGGCAAAACTGTGAGCTTACAAAAAGCTTCTTTAGGTTTCCTCGCTAAATTTAGCGGGGAAACTGAATTGGTGCATAAATCGTGGCGCTAATTTTTCTGCTAAATTTAGCGGAGATCCTGAATTTATCTGTAGGTCCTGTGATGTGGTGCAACGCATCAATTTTCCCGCCAGATTTAGCTCGGAACCTGAATTGGTGCATAGGTTGTGACGCCAATTCTTTGGCTAAATTTAGCAGGGAACCTGTGTCCGTGACTGGTAAGCAGTATGCCCATATAGCTGAAAATCTTGAGTAATAGCTTAATAATGTTATCGCATTAGTAAATATAGACTGGGAAACGCGAGATTTAGTGTTATGGCCAAGACCACTAACACTGGCACAAAAACTGTTAATGGTCTTGCCACTTGGCAAAGACCACTTTAAGTCATATTAATGTGGTGGCTATTTTTGGATGTGGTGTCTCACAGGTCATCTTGAGTGGAGAAGATGCCGTTGCTGAATGGTTGGACCCGAACAACAGTTTTGAAAAGGTTGGTTCCTTTGACTATGGTGCTTGGAATGTTATGTCCATCTAGTGTACATTTTTCTGAGATGGTAATGTACCCAGGAAAAGAGATTTCATGCGTAGGGGAGACTGTGATTAGTTCACAATCTCCTTACCACTTGAGGAGCACTTATGTATGATCCTATCATATTTGAGAGGGGCATTGAAAATTGTAAGATTTTGAACCAGCAGCCAATTCTAAAGAGGTCTGCCATCTCACTCTTTTATTCAGGCATTTTGTACATAAAATGTGCTTTTGGCGAAGATAACTTCCGAAAACGTAAGATGCATCTGTGACACTCAAAAGCGAGATGCAAAATTCTTATCCTTATGATCGCTTCCATTGGCTGGCGTAAGCGATCATGTGACCACAGCGATGATCAGTTGCATTCTTATTGGAGGTCACAGAACGAGTCTTGGTACATAAACCATTGCACCAACATTTACGACCCAAAAATATACTCTGCATATGGCGATTCTGTCAGGTATGACCAAAGTACTGCCACACAGTTTCTCTTGAAGGACATAGATCCTGAATACCTTGAATTTGGGCACGAAGACACAAAGACCAAGGCGACCCAAAAGCATTTTCAATAACTAAACGCATCCTAAAAGTGTGTGTGTGTTTAGCGTAACAGAGAAAAGCTGCTCAAACAGCGATACCAGAAACACCTCTTTGTAGTCATGGCCATGTTCCTGCTACCGAGTAACTATGTTTCAGTCATGTGTTCCCAGATGTAAAAATAATACTGTTGCTATAGTGGCACAGTCAAATGCCTTTATGAATACCTTAACTATGAAAACGCCCGTTTAATGAACTATAATAAAGTCCCGGCCAATCTCCTATGCGTTTAATGTGTTTCTCTGACTAATACAACAAATTCCTGTTTAACAAATATTTCTGTTTAACTAAGCAATTCTGGGCCCCACGATGCAAACAGTATTGGTATTATGAATTTTTTAGGGGAATATTAATCGATTTCATGTTACACATGCATTTCCCCTCAGCACCACTTGGATACAGGGCCTTTGTGTTGAATGTTCTGGGTGACCAAAACAGGGGAAACACACTTTCCTGCCCTTTCCACTTCTCATTTCGTGCACTCTTTCTACACCACCTGTTTCTGCTCCTCTCTTCTCCTTTTCACCCCTCTCCTCTCTGCACTTTCTCGCACCACCTGCATCTGCTCCTCCCATTCCTGTGTGCTGGGTTCATAGCTCAGTCAGCAGCGCACTCGGCTTTCACACAGGTGACCAGGGTTGAATCCCTGGCAGCGGTTGCTGTTTTTTTTTTTTTTCAAGATCGTTTGGTGGTTATGGGACTGACTGACCTGCACATTTTGTGCTTACACAGCAACTGAGCTTGGTTGGCCCTATAAAGCTATTGCTTTAAAAAAGTAATGTTACTTTTTTGTTTTACGGAAAAACAATGAAGAGATAATCAATTGTCATAAACACAATGGGCGCCCACTACAAACCACGTGACATGAAAACTCATATAGCAGATCGCAGACACGGCAAATTAGCATTTCACAACGCAATAAACACGCGAAAATTCACTACTAGCTCCTGTGTCTTGGGAAAGGATCTTGCAGTCTATAGATAGAGCAGATTCGAGTTTCACAGTGCGGTAAACACAAAAACCGGCTGCCAGCTCGCGTGCCACACCGATATCACGTGCGCTGATCATGGGAAAAAAACACGGGAACTCTCTACGAACTTGCATCTCTCAGGAGCCGATATTGTGCGCGCAGATCGCGGACAAAAACCCGGGAATCCGCTGCGAACCCGCTTGTCACACATACTGGTACCACAGATTGCGCGGTTGATGTGATTCCTGTTGCACCTCGCATGATATTTGACGGGTGAGCGATGTTTCTGAATTTTTATGTTACAAATGTTTAGCTAGAAAAACGGGATGGGTTATCTCTTAGGGTGCCCTTACGTAATTTTACGGCATTTGGATACAGGTTAAGAGCATGCCAAATAAACCCCAGCAAATACCAGCCTCAGCATTGAATCACTCCTTCGACCAACTAGGAAAGACAGTAACCTTGACAGGTTACTTATGGGACATCGGTACAGCATACCAATACATTGTAGCCTCAGTAGTGGTCTGTTTGCGCATGGTCGAGGAATGGTGGCTGGTAGTAATAGAGGTGTGGGAGGAGCCTCTGGCACTTTCTTAAAAGAATCATGAAACAATTTTTCTATTTTCGCTAAATACTACTGTCAAGACCGGTTATAACGAAGTCGGCCACTACAAAATAGCGGCTACAGCGAAGCGATCACGATTTCCCATTCCCTTTTGCACTTCGTTAACCAAAGCCAGTTATAACGAAATACCGGATATAGCGAAGTGATTTCCGATTCACGTCGACTTCGTTATACCGTATTTACTCGCATAATGAACGCACTAGCATAATATACGCACCCCCCACAACGGGCATCAATATTTTGACTTTTTTTTTTTCCCTCCCGTAATCAACACACCTCCAATTTTCGGATCCGCGAGTCTCGAGTTGCGTCCAATTTAGCAAGCCACCAAGCAAGTTTTCTTTTGCCGCCAAGCAGTCAGGCCAAGTCAAGCCAGGCTGCTCACATCACAGTGGCTCACGTTACGGCCTCAAGTGCATAGTTGCGGTAGTTACGGAAGTGATTAACCGTGAAACCGAGTGTCGTGCACACTTGACGAAGCTTGGGTCGAGCAATTGCTGAGCCCCGGACATTCTTCTCCTATCGGAAGGCATTGATGTCAACAATCAAGCTGTTGTCTGTGGTCTGCTTTCGGACAGTGAAATCGTGAAAGTGGTTAGGCCTAATTTCACATACTCCGGGTAAATGCATTTATTCACTCCAGAACAGAACGGCACAGTGAGGTGCATGCTGCGCTGTAGGCTGAGAATGTTTGGTAGCCTCTCCATGAACGAAACTTGATCCGCGCGAGTGGACTTTGGCAGTCGGCAGTTGGACTTCGTACGACTTCAGTAAAGAATGTGCCCCTCCCTGAGGGTCGCCAGGTTGTTTTGTCCCGGTCCTTCCTAGAAGTCGTAGGTCAGGGCCGGGTGATCGTGGACTGCCGCGCTGGATGGTCGCTTCGGTGCTTGTTGGTGGTGGCGGAGCCTCGAAGAAAGACGCTCAAAATCGAGAGCAACGATTGATAAAAACAAATATATTAAGGGGGGACACTGGCTAGAGCTCAAACTTTTTAACTACTCAAGTGATTGGAATGAAATTTGCAGGGGAGATTTAGCTTCAGATGTAGGTGTACCGTGCTAACTTTCAGCTCTCTAGGACAAATTTACATACCTTCATAACATGATGTGTCGCTTTTCATTAAGAAATCTATGATATGCAAATCAAGCTATTAAGCATCATTTTGACTGCTTGAATATAAAGTGGGGGATATGGGACCTTGGGCTATCTAGTTTTAATAACTTAAATGTAAATATTTCAGGAAGAGTTATTACCTCAAACTATGAGATGCATATCTGTCCTCTGTCAATTTTTGAAAACTTGGTTTTTTATCACTGAGGACTTCAACCTAAAACAAAATAAAGTAGATAGCCCGATTCCTGAGTAAATTTCAGTTCAGAAACATCTTGATTGTGGTATCAGAATACTTTCACCTTCGAACAAAAGATTCCTTCATATGAAATTTGCAGCAAAAAGTGGAACTGAGAAAAATGCATTCAAACATTGAACTCCTTTACTTTGTTACTGCCTCACAATGTGTTGAAAATATTTTATATCAACGTAACTATTTGGCATATGGTTATCAAATTTGGTGTAAGGGTGTATAATTAGTTTCTAAAACTGAAAACCTCAAAATTAAAAAATGAATGTTTCCAAAAAAATTTAAAATTTAGGCCCATGTCCCCCCTTAAAACATCAACAGCAAACTTGGTTACAGAACTCTACTGTCCGCTGACGGCAGTAGAAATACAAGAAAAAACCGCGCCTCGGCGCAAAGTGCCCACCGCGCACGGTGAGGCTCAAAGAAACTGCTCGTCGCTCGCGACAAAGCTACGCGGACCGGCGGACCGCGGGAGATAACTTGCTCCGCGCGCGGGCTTGTTCAAACTCAACGTTTCCTCGCCAGCGCGGACGAGAAAACTCCCCGCTGACACAAGGCCTGTCCAATCAGGACGATTATACAATTCTATTGGCCCCAGTGCCGGCTGGTCCTCCACCAATCACAGAGAGGCCACGGAACTCGTTATTTCCCTTTTCTAAGAAGAGAAACAATGCTAAACCACTTGGGGAACTCTCCAATCGGGGCGATACTTTACTACTTTACGGAGAAAAGACCCTCCACTTCGCCGCGTCAAAACAAATTAACGCCGTGTCCTTCGAAGTTAGCGAGTAAAGCGTAATGGAGTCCAAATGGACCCAGGCCGGCGCCCCTCCTCGCTAAAACCTTGCTGTAGCAGTCTCCCGACCAGACAAGCCGTCACTGGGAACGCGCCGTGACGACAAAGCCGGGGAGGGTGCCACTACCTCGCGGAGACAGGCAAGAATGTCTGTCTCCTTCCCGGGCCAAAGATTAAAAAAGGCTCAAGCCGCTCATCCCCCTATCCTCGGGGCGAGCCGTCGGGGTGCCCCCATCCGAGCGGTTGAAGGTCGATTACCTCAGTTCCCAGGAAACGATCAAATACTCAAGCGACTCCTACACGCCCACCCTGAAAACTGTGCCAGGACTTCTGGACTGGCCAGCAGTTATTATAACAGAACAGTCGCGACACCATTAAAAGAAAGATAAAAAGAAAAACACTTCAACTCAAGCAAAACCCCGTACGGAAAACGACGGCAAGGGAACAACAACAAAACACATACGCTAAAAAAAAAATATCCTGAGCATCAGCCGTACTTTTGTACAGCCGTCCCACTCGCGCCGAAAACAAACGCGCAAAAAGGATTACAGCAATAAAAAAAAGGCTCACAAAGAATATGCGACGCAGCACGAAACTCTGCCACACTCTACAG